GGGATTTCCCTGGATCAACAGCTTCCCAAAGCCAGAAAAAGCAGAAAATCCCATCCTTGGGAATGTTCTCCCAGCTCTGAGCCCATCCTGGAGCCCTCACTGGCTCCTGCCCCATTCCCACTTTTCCAGTCCCTGCCATGGATCCTCAGGGATTCCTGGTTGTTGTTATCCCAGCTGATCCCTGGGAATGGGATCAATCCCAGCCCTGGGAAGGACAGCTGCTGGTTCCAGGGCTTTCCCAGCTCCTGGAATTTTGGGATTCCTGCCCTTAGGGTTGGATAAAGCACTGAAGGTGCTGAAGGGAAAAGTCTGGAATTCTCTGGGAATGAGGCTGCCACATCCTGTGTGGGATTTTTGGGAACAGCTCTGACATTCCAGGAGCTCTGGGGAGAGCCCGGAGACACTGCTGGGATAACGAGATTGTGCCGATCCCCATCCAACAGCAAATCCTTCGGAATTTCAGTTTTCCAATCCCATTTCCACGGATGTCAAGCTGCAGCCTCATTCCCATTATTAAACTGTCATCACTCCCGATTAAAATCCCGCTCCTGTGGAGCCAGAAAAACCTTTGGAAGGAGGGATTTCAGGGCAAATTTGTAATTTTTCCCTCCCGGAAAGATTTGTGTTTGCATTCCATGGAAACAAAGCTGGTCTGGGGCAGTGATCCCTCCTGCTTCTCCTGCTGAGGAATCCCAGAGAAAATCAAGAATTCTGGAAGGGAATAAAATCATCCAAAGCCCTTGATCGGGATCCCAAATCCCAGAGAAAATGGGGAATTCTGGAAGGGAATCAGATCATCCAAAGGCCTCAGTCAGGATCCTGAATCCCAGAGAAAATGGGGAATTCTGGAAGGGAATCAAATCATCCAGAGCCCTCGGCCAGGATCCCAAATCCCAGACCCGTCACTGCCACTGAGTTACGATCCCATTCCCATCCCAGCCTGGCCCTAAATTCCCTCTCCTGCTTAATGAGAACGGCGGAAGCTGTCAGGAATTATGGATGTATCCAATATCCGAGGGCACCGTGTTTTCCCGGAGCGCTGGCGGATCCATGGATTTTACGGCACTGCCGAGCTCGGGAAGAGTCACTGGGGGGGAAAACGGGAACTAAACTGAGCAAAGCTGGGGCTGGAAAAATGAAAATTTTTTTTCTGGGATGGGGATCTGGAAGAACTGCTTGGGAATTGTTGCCACTGGAAGTTAGGGAACTTCCCGGCTGGAATTTGACCCTTCTCAGGCTGAGTGCCCAGGAGGTACAAATCCATGGAAAAGCTGCAAATAAATCCCGGGAGCTTTGCATGAGGGAATCAAAAACATTCCAACAGGCATCATGATTCCCATGGAATGAGATGCTCCCAAACCCAAAGAATTCCATGATTCCTCCAAATCTGATTCCTGTCTCCCGAGTACAATTCCAAGGCTCAGCTCCATCCCAAAACCCAGCTTTGCTTGTGGTGTCTCAATTGGTTCCTTTGGATCAGTTTTCCACTGGGAATTGGGGCTAGAATCACCTCAAATCCTCCCTGGAAGTGAGGGACAGATCCTCTCTTCCTCCTCTGCAAAAAGGGCTCGGGAAGTTTGGGAAGCAACGAAGGAAAAGGCTCAAACTTCCATTTTCAAATTATTTTCCAGTGAAAAAAGGGCCTGGAAGTCCATGGATGTTTTCCCTTAGGGATGGGCTGTGCCCAACTCCAGCAAGGAAAATTCCCTGCAAAAAAAACCCTTTTCCATGGAAATGTGGGAACATTCCCAAGTTCTGGCCGCATCCTGCTCACCAGGAACGCTGAACCATTCCAGGCATTCCCAGAGTTACCAAGGCCCAAAGTGTGGGGGTTTTCCCTCCTTTTTTGACTTTTCATTCCCTAAATTGGGGTTTATGGAGAAGTCAGGTGGAAAAATCCCGATTATTCCCTTTTCCCACTCCGTTAACACTCAGCAGCCACTCGAGGAATCCCCGAGGGACTGAGAGCAAACAAATCCCAAATTAATCTTGCAAGGAAACGTTCCCTTTGCACAGGGAACGTTTTCCATCCCTGTCACCGGGAGATGAAGATGCTGGCCTGGAAAACACTCAGCTCGAGGATAATTCTGCATTTTTTTACAGAATGGAGCCGTCAATCTCCGGGATTGACGCTCCGGGGAGGGAACGGCTGCAATGCAGAGTCTGGAGATGGATGGGGCAGAGGGAAAAAGAATTCCTGGGGATGGATGGGAGCCCTCGGCAGGGACCTTCCAGGGATTGCTCTCCTTTCCTTTGGATGCGGCACTTTCTGCTTCTTCAGGATGGGAAAAATTCCCAGTTTTTAAGGGAATAAACAAAGATTGCAAAGGTTTGCCTGCTGCTGTTTCTGTTTTACTGCAGTGGCTGAGAGGGGCAGGGAATGATCCCGGGATTCTGGAGCCCCTCTGGAGCCACGTTGGGAAAGCTGGGAATGTTCACCTGGAGAAGGGAAATTCCAGGGAGAGCTTCCAGCACATTCCAGGAGCTGAAGGGGCTTCAGGAGAGCTGGGGAGGGATTTGGGATAAGGGATGGAGGGACAGGGAATGGCTTCCCATTGGGAATGGGGAGACTTGGATGGGATATTGGGAAGGAATGAGGGTGGGAAAGGGCTGGGATGGAATTCCCAAAGCAGCTGTGGCTGCCCCTGGATCCCTGGGAATGCCCAAGGCCAGGCAGGAGCCACCTGGGACAGTGAGAATTGTCCCAGGAATTGTCCCTGCCCATGGCAGGGCTGGGATCAGATCTTGAAGGTCCTTCCCAACCCAAACCACTCCAGGATTCTCTGGAATAACACCAGGGAAAAAAAATCCCTGGAAAGGTCCAGGGAGGAAGGAGCTGGAGCCGCATTCCCTAAAAGCTGCTGGAAGAAAACACCGGAGGTTTTGCTCCTCATTTCCAGCCCGAGCACGTCCCCAGCCCCGCGGAGAATCCTGCGGGAGGCAGGGAAGGACGCGGAGGCGGAGGCAGGAAAAGGATGGATGAGCTCGGCTGCTCCCGCTGGAAAATCCGGGGCTGCTCCATGATTAAAACACAGCCAGCCCGAGGCCACGGCGGGGATTTTGGGATGAAAAGGTCCTTGGGAGTGAGAGGGAATGTGTGGGATGAAGGGCAAGGAGCTGGGGTTGGAATATGGGAATTTGGGGCTGCCGGGAGATGGGAAAAAAAAGAATTCCGGGGATGGATCGAGGTGGAGTTTGTGCAACACTCTGAATGGAGGGGAAACACTGGGGAAAATGGGATTGGGGTTTGCCCTTTAAAAAAGGCAGGGATGTTCCTGGATTTCAGAGCATCCCGGATTCCCTCGGGAGCAGCTCCCCCTCGGTGCTGGATCCAGGCAGGATTTTCCCTGTCCCAGGTCTCCAGTCACAGCCAATCCCAGCAGGATCAGCTTTCCCTGAGCCTGATTCCATCTCTCCTGTGCCTCGGGCTCCCACCCAGACATGGGAAAAGCAGAGAAAACCTGGAAATTCCGGCACTTCCCACGGGTTGGGAAGGTCAGGTGGGATCATTTCCAGGTGGGAAGAAAACACAAGAACTCCCACTCTCCAGTGGCTCCAAGCCAGAAAGAACTTCCCTTCTTGGATCATTTTTCCAGCATCCAAGAGCCAGTGCTCTGCCCAGATCCAAGGAAAAGCTGAGATGCCAGAATGAGGGACAGGAACCAAGCTCAGATCCTCAACCTCGGAGCCCTGGAGCTCAGCCAAGGCCAAAGTTTGACCCCAAGGAAGAGGAATAATGAGGAAAAGTGGGGAAAACCCCAAAGCTGGGCTCAGGACATGGATCAGAATCCCAGGACATGGATCAGAATCCCAGGACAGAATCCCAACCTTCCCTGCGGGAAATTTCCCGCCAAGCAGGTTGGATCCAACCAAAGGACATTTTCCATGTGGGACAAAGGGCAGGGCTGGCACAGCTCAGTCCCTGCGCTCTTCCCAAAATTCCCGGCTCTGTCCCCTCCTCACATCTACCCCTTCCCGCCTGAATCTGCAATTCCAGGCCAACCCAATCCTCTCCCTACGGATTTCGGGAATGGGAGCTGTCAGCGCTGGCAGCTCCTGGCAGCACCATTTCCCTCTGAATTCCCTCCAAATCCTGGCAGGATCCAACCCAATCCATCTTCCAAGTGCTGAAATTTGGGAGCAGATGGGGAGGACGAGCTGCTCCAGCTCTGTGGGAAGAGCTCGTGCTGAGATCCATCAGCATTCCCACAGATTTCCCAATTAATGGCACCCCTCCAGATCCATCAGCATTCCTGGGGATTTGTCCCCAGCATTCCCAAATAATGGCACCACTCCAGATCCATCAGGGCTTGGCATTCCCGTGGATTTCTCCCCAGCATTCCCAATTAGCAGCTGGCTGTTAATGGATGAGGCTGTGGGAGGTGGTGCCGATGGACTGGGATGAGATAAATTGGGATTGGCTGTCTTAAGTCCCATTCCAGCCCTTTTTACCCCCCATTCCTGCCTTTTTGAATTCTCATTTGGAAGGCAACACTCCCAAAAAATTTGGGAATGACAGCCAGGAACAGCTCCCCGGCCTTGGGATCGTGTCTGATCCATCTGCAAGCCCCAAGTCCAGATCTGACAAATTATCCCAAATTTCCCCCTCAGCTGCTCTGTCCAAGCCCCTCCTGCCTTTTGGTACAAGCAGAAAACCGGGAAGAATTTCAACAATAAAACCAGGAATTATTTCATTCACGTTGGGATCAAGCCCCACCCCTGAGAAGCATCACCCCCAGCAATCCCAATGCTGCCAAAAAAAGGGAAGGTTTTTGCTCATGGACCTCAAAATAAATCCAAAAAAAAAAAAAAAGGTCAAGTCCACTGCAACTCCCGACGGTTTGGTTGGGAATAATTCAGGGGAGATCCAAGGCCTGGCAAACCCAGCGGAATTTGGGATTGGGATTTATCCGGAGCAGAATTTGGGATTGGATTTATCCGGGGTCCCATTCCTGCTCCATTTGCCGAGGGCCGGGAGGACAAACAGGGCAGGATTTGCTGGATTTGCTTCCAGAGGCCGTTCTGGGATCCCAAATTTTGGATTCTGGGAGGGATCCGAGCCCGCTCTGCTGGAGATGACCTTTCCTGCCCCAACCACAAATCCCATTGGGAATTGGGATTCCAAAGGATTCCTTCTCCACCCTCCAGCACAGGGAAAGGAGCTGAAACCCCAGACCAGCTCCACTGGTCAGGGCTGGAGCTGAAAACCCCAAAACCAGGAGTTCATCCCTGATCTCCTGGGTCTTTCCAACTCGGAATTCTGGGAATGTGGGAGAGGATACCTGGGGGATCCCCCACGTACCTGAGGCAGCAGCAGGGAGCAGACAATGGCCAGGGTGGTCTGGAAGTTGTCCTTGAGCCAGAGCCCCACGGCGTGGATGCAGCCCCGGACGTGGATGGTGCCAAGCAGCTCCAGGCGCTGGGAGAGGGGAGAGAACATCCCAAATTCCTGCTGTATTCCCAGGAACCGCGGCTTTCCCAGGAGTTTTGTCAGGAACAACCTCGGATTGGGCTTTTTTTAGCCCAAATCACTGTCCCCAAGGGGAGAGGTTTTAGTTCTCACACTTCCAAAGGAAGTTTCAGAGCTGAGGTCCAAACATTGTTGGGATTAAATCCCAACTTTTGGGGACCTGAGTGGGACCTGGGAAAGATCCTGGATCATCGAATTCCCTCAGCTGAGGCCTCTCCGAGATGGGAATTCCCACATTTCTGCACTGGGGGGATCCCTGAACAGATCCTGGGCTGATCTCTCCACCCTCGAGCTATGCCCTTTTCCCCACTGGGAATGTTAAGGGAATTCCCAGGTGAGAATCCCTGTGCTGGGATGCCTGGGCACCAAAAGTAGCCCAAAATTCCAGGGAAAAGCTCCAAAACTGAGTTTGGAGCAGCTGCATTCCAGCCTTGCTTGGGAACAGGAACTCCTGCATGGAGCATTGGATTTTTGGGATTTGGGGAAGAAGAAGCAGCAAATTCCCAAAAATTCCAAGGTCACCTCCTTGTCCAGGGCACGGTACCCACACAGGGTGTTCACCACTCCTCCAGGAACCTGTGGAGAACGGGAACAGATTTATCCCGGGAAAGGTGATGAGGAAATGCCAGAAATCCAAATGAAATCAGGAATTCCAGAGGTGCCCAGCACGGGACAATTGGGGCCTGGTCTCCCTAACTTTGGGGTGTCCCTGAGTGGGACTTTAGGGCAAATCCCAACCCAAACCATTCCAGGATTCTGGAGCCAGGCTGGGAGAGCTGGGAATGTTCCCCTGGAGAAGGGAAATTCAGGGAGAGCTTCCAGCACATTCCAGGGCCAGGTGAGGGATTTGGGACAAGGGATGGAGGGACAGGACACAGGGAATTACTTCAAACCTGGAAAGAGGAGATTTGAGTGGGATTTGGGATGGAATGAGGGTGGGGAGGGGCTGGGATGGAATTCCCAGAGGAGCTGTGGCTGCCCCTGGATCCTTGGGAATGTCCAAGGCCAGGCTGGAGCACCCTGGGACAGTGGGAATTGTCCCTGTGGGTGGCTCTGGATGTGATTAAAGGTCAGGAAATTCCCAAGGGATTCGCCTCTCCCAGTTCTTTTCCCGGAATTCTGGGGCTGATTCTTTACCGAATGAGGCCAAATCCATCCCAAGGTTTTGGTCCTTTCCAAGTTCCGCTTCTCCCGGAGATTCCAGAGCCTTTGGTGAGGTCTCACTTCCCAAAAAACCTCTCCAGGCGTCAGAGCCACAGCCGGGGGCTTTCCCTCTTGGAAATTCCATAGATTCAATGGATTTTCCTCCCAGACCATCCTCCAGACTCAGCTCAGGGAATCCTGGAATGGTTTGGGTGGGAAGGGGCCTTGAATCTCATCCCATATCAGGGACATTTCCCAAAATCCCAGGCTGCTCCAACCTGGCCCTGAGCATTTCCAAGAACTTTCCAAAATTTTCCCCCTCTGGATTAATGGAATTTTTCCCTCTCTCTGCTCCCTGTTGATTTTTTTTTTCTTTTTTGCCAAATTGTCCCAAAAAAAACAAAAACAAAAACAAAACAAAAAAAAAACCAAACAAACAAAAAAAAAAAAAAAAAAAAAAAAAAAAAACAAAAAAAACCAAAAAAAAAAACAAAAAAACCCCACAGGAGTGTAAAAATACCCAAAAAGCACATCCTCACGGCAGGAATTCCTCATTCCATCTCCAGGAGCCTCGGGAGTCATTAATCAAGGCCCTGATTAGAGAGGATCTCAAATCTGCATCTCATTTGCATATCAGGCCCACACGGATAATTAAACCCCTTCACATTTCCCTCTTTTTCCATTAAAAACCCCTGGAACAAGGAGGGATTGATGAGGAATTTTCCTTGTGCCAGGGCTCGGATCCGGCACTGATATTCCCGGAGATCCGGAGCTCCGCAGAGCCGTTTTTGGAGTTCTCCAGCCTTGCCGGGATATTTGGAATTTTTCCCGGATCCTGAGGTTTTATCCTCAGATGGATTCCGTGGAAGAGCAGGCTTGGATTAAACAATCCGAGCTCGGAGCACTTCACCGAAATCCCAGCTTGGTTTGGATTCCCAAATGTGGGAATTCTCCCCAGGAGAAGTTCCTGGCTCTGGAATTCTGCTCCCTCTGCAGCCCTCCTCCATCTGGGGAGTTGGAATTCCAGCTTTTCCTGATCCCCAGCAGCAAATTCCCCAAAAATCCCTTCATTCCCCAAAAATCCCCTTGGTGGGAGCCAGGACCAGGAACAGGATCCCAAAAACTCCCAAACCCTGCAGTGTCCAGATGGGAACGGGACTGAGGGAGGATGCAGGCTGGGATGGAGCCAAGTCAGATCCCAAAATCCTGGAATGGTTTGGGTTGGGAGGGACCTTAAATCCCATCCAGGGCCACCCTGGGACAATTCCCTCAATCCCAGGTGGCTCCAGCCTGGCCTTGGATATTCCCAGGGATCCAGGGGCAGCCACAGCTCCTCTGGGAATTCCATCCCAACCCCTCCCCACCCTCATTCCATCCCAAATCCCATTTCCATCTCCATTTTCCCATTCCCTGTGTCCTGTCCCTCCATCCCTTATCCCAATCCCTCTCCAGCTCTCCTGGAGCCCCTTAAGGCCATGGAAGTGGCTCCAAAATTTCCCTGGAATTTCCCTTCTCTAGGTGAACATTCCCAAGTCTTTCCAAGCTGCTGCTGTTTCTTTTCCCAAATAATCCATTTCCAAAGCTTTTATACCTCACAGCTGGAAACCTCGGAATTCCCCAAAACTCCTCCGCTATCCCAGGATTTGGCCTCCACGATCCCAGAAAATTCCAGACTAACCCATAAATAAACATTCCTATTCCATCTCCTTCATCCTCTCATGCTGAAATTCCCTCAAACCTTTTTTCCAGGTGGGAATGACAAAGCAGAAATCCATTGGTGTGGAAAAACGTCTGGAAGAGGGAATTTCCTGGGAATTTGGGTGTTTTCCATAAATAAACATTCCTATTCCATCTCCTTCATCCTCTCATGCCGAAATTCCCTCAAAATTTTTTCCAGGTGGGAATGACATGAAGCAGAAAGCCCTTGGAGCAGAAAAGCCATCGGGAAGAGGGAATTTCTTGGGAATTTTGGGCATTCCCATGCTCGGCTCACCCCGCGGACGCAGCAGGAATGGGGCACCCCGCAGGCCAGGGCCCCGCTGCCGTTGCAGGCATGGTACTGGTTCACTTCCCAATCCCGGAATTCGTCCCCTCCACAGCAGGAAAACTGCAGGAAAAGCACAGGGAGACGGGGAGGGGGGAGCTGGGAAAACTCTGGAATTCCAGGAGAAAGCTGGGAAGGGATTCCCGCTCCACAGGGATTTGGGGTTGGGTTGGGAAATCTCTCCCTGGGAGGCTGAGGAAGGGCAGGATGGAATTCCCAGGGAATTCCCCAGCCCTGGAAACTCTGGAAAAATCCTGAAAAAAAGAGTTTGGAATGAGCCCAGTGGCCCTGGGATAACAGGGAATGGATTCCCATAGATACAGGGATAATGGGAGATAATTAATTGGGATAACGGGAAGGAATTCCTCCCTGGGGAAGGGCTGGGATGGAATTCCCAGAGAAGCTGAATCCTCTGGAAGTGTCCAAGGCCAGGCTGGAACAACCTGGGATAGGGGAAGGGGTCTCTGCCCATAAAAAAAGAGGAATTTTAAGATCCAATCCAATCCAATCCAAACCATTCCATAATTCCAATCCAATTCCCTGCATCTCCATTTCCCGACTTTTCCCTGTTCCCAGGGAAGCTGGAGTAAAAAAAAAGTGGGAATTTTTTCCCATTTGTCCCCATTTTAGAGGGATTCAAGTGTGGCTTTCCCCGGGCCTTGGCTGCATCACTGGGATCAGCTCAGCCACACTTCCATGGTTTAATTCCCGGTGACAAATCCAACTTTTCCCGAGGCAGGGATGGCTCTGGCAGCGCCCTCAGGGATGGATTTGGTGGCTCTGAGCCATCCCACAAAATCCCCTTCAGCCCCACAGGGATTTCTCCTCCCGTCAGGATAAACTGGGATCAAATCCTGCAGCTACAAAGGGAAAAAATAAAACAACAACAACAAAAAATTGTCCTTTTTTTCCTTCGTTTCCCGCAGCAAAGATAAAAAAAAATTCCAATCAAAGTCACTCCGTGTCCTCCACGGAATAAAGATGAGCCTGTTCCGAACCAGCTCATCCCTCCTCACAGAAAACAATTGGAATTGGAGATTTTCCCCCAAAAGAAAAAGCCTGGAATGGCCAGGAAAGGTTGGAGTGCTTGGAAAAGCAGGGGAAGAAAAATATTCCAGTTTTTTAAGCACAAAACTCATCCAGGAGCAGATTTTGGGAGAGGTTTTTCCCTCTGCTCCCCTTTTCCAAGGGAAAGCAGGAAAAACTCTCGGGATCCTTCTGCCCTGCTCCATCCCAGGCACAGATTTACAATTCCCAGACTCTCATCTGGAATTCCTGGATTTCTTTTGGTCCCACTTGTGCCGGGGAGGGAGACCAGCTCCCAAAAACTGCTGGAAACAGAAAAAGGGGAGGAAAATCCCAAAGGGAAGCAGCAGGTGGGAAAAATGCTGGAAAAACACCACGGAATGGTGGAAAACGCCATTGAATGGTGGGAAAAACGCCATGGAATCATCCAGAAGGAGCCTGATCCGTGATTGTTTGTAGATGCAGGAATTCCCAGAAATAAATCCGCTTTTCCTGGAGATTCATGGATTCCCAGGGCTCTGGTAAAGGCCGGGAATTCTAGGCTCCATTTCTCACCCACGCAGAATTCCAGCCTCGTCCTGGGAAGGCTGGAGAAAAACTTGGGAGAAATTCCAATCTTTCCCCAAATCCGAGGCCTCCAGAGGGTTCCCAGCCTGGTTTTGAGCTCGGCTCAGCCAGACCAGGCCCAAAGTCCCAAAGCCAAGGAGGAGCCCTGGAATCAAAGTCCTAAATCCCAAAGGGAAGGAGCTTCCCAGGCTGCTTCGCTTCAAATCCAGGGATAAAATTTGGGGATTTGGGATGATTCCAGAAAAACTGAGGGAATTTGGGCCGGGGTGGGAACATCCCAAATTCTCTGGGAGCAGCTTGGCCTCAAAGCCGGGCCCTGCTCCCCCAATCCCACCTATGACATTCTCAGAATTCCCTCCTCCAGTTTGGGGATTTTCCATAGTTTTTTCCCATTTAGGAATGCTCAAAGCCAAACCCTGCTCCCCCAGTCCCACCTGGGACATTCCCAGAATTCCTTCCTCAAATTTTGGGGTTTTCCATGGATTTTCCCATTCAGGAATGCTCAGAGCCAAGAAATTCCCACCAGAAATATCCACACCAAACACAGGAGCAATCCCAGAATTCCCAATCCCATGGGATGTGAGGGAATGGTTGGGTTTGATCTTGGAGGGTTTTTCCAACCTCAGTGATTCCATTGAAAGATTGGAATTCTCTCCTCCCAGCCCCCACAGATCTGGGATTTTCCCATGGGAATCAGGGCCTGTCCTGCTGCTGGGGACTCCAGGGAAAAGGGATTTTTCCAAGGGTTTTTGTATCCCTGGAGATGATTTTAAATTTATTTCTTTCCCTCCCTTGGGATGAGACTAAAAAATTCCAGGCAGAGATTTCCCACCAAAAGATGGGAATAGAAATATCCCAGCATGATCTAAGCCCTGGAGCAGCTGAGGCTCCTCCCAGGGCACACAAATCCCAGGACAATTCCCCAAAAAAAATCCCCCTGGGCTGAGCTCAGGGAGGCAAAACCGGGCAAGAAATCCCACGGAAAACCCAACCAGGTGAAAATATCCAAGGAAAACACCCCAGGGCTGGGAATAACTCTGCAAATCCAGGGAAAATGGGGCATGGGATTCACCATTCCTTGGAAAACTTCCCCCTTTTCCCATCCAAACCTTTTCCTGCACAAAATCCAAGATATTTTTGAAGTCCAGGTCATCGTAGTAGTGCCGGATTCCCTCCTGGATGTTGGAGTGGAAAACCTCGTTCATCTGGGATGGAGAAACCCAAAATGTGGGAAAATTCAGGGAAAACAGCATAACATTCCAGGTTTGTCACACCTGGCACTGGAGGAGGAATTTTCCCCTGTCCCAAGGTGATTTCCTGGGATCAAATCCATCATTTTGGAGCTGTCTGGATCCATTCCCAGCACATCCAGGCAGGCCAAGGAATCTTTATCCACCTGATTTTTTCCTGTTCCGCTGGATTTGATTCCAGTTTGATATTATTTTTGGGAATAACCATTCAATTTTTGGGAAGAGCCATTCAATTTTTGGGAATGACAATCCAAACTCCTCAATCCTACGGAAAACCGGGATTTTAAACCCTGGCCAAGGGCTCTGACAGGGGAATTATCCATGGAAAAATATTCCACAAGTGGGAGCAGAGCCCTCACGGAGCCCTGGATCCTTTCTGATCCCGAGAAATCCCTCAGAATTCCAGCAAGGAATGGCGTGGATGGGCTGGGGCTGGCACTTCAAGGACTTAATTAAGTACTAATTGGATGGAAAAGGAATTTAGGGATGCCTGGGAATGTTCCTGGGGAGGCTCTGAGTGTCCAGGGCAGAGCCAAAGCAGATTCTCTGCTCTATTCCCAAAAAACCACCAGGCGGGAATGGTAATTCCCAAAAAACCACCAGGCGGGAATCATCATTCCCAAAAAACGACGAGGCGGGAATGGTCATTCCCAAAAAATCACCAGGCGAGAATGGTAATAGAGGGGGAGAGGAAATTATTCCCTGAGTTTGGAGAAGGTGGAAAAAGGGAGGGACGAGGAAAATTCCATTTTCAAAATACTGGAAAATTCAAAGCTGGGAAGAGCGGGAATGGGGAGAGAACTCGGGAATGGGGAAAACGTGCTGGGGATGATTCCTGGGAATCTCAAAAAGCTCTGGGGAACTTCAGGAATATTTTCATTCGTGGTTTTCACCAAACCAAGACATTCCTTGCTTCTCCCATTTCCTGCTGCTTTGTCCCCAAAAAGGCTGATCCCAGTTCCTTTTTCGGGAATGGCAATTCCGTTTTTGGGGAATGGCAATTTTCCAGGTGGGAGTTGAAGCTTCTGAGGTTCTGCTCCCTTTCCCTCCCTCCCTCCCTCCCTCTCCAGGACTCCAACCCCATTAATCCCCCCAGCTTTATTTGCATATCAACAGAGCTGATTTGCATAACGAGCGCTGGGAGGTGCGGAATTAATTCCTGATTTCATCTGAAATCCAATTAATTCTGGGATTTGGGAGTTTGATGAACATCCATTGTTCCAGAGGCAGATCTGTGCTTCCCACAATTCCAGGTTGGATTTGTCATTCCCCCCTCCCTCCCCCCCCCCTCATTGTTTGGGGTTAATTAACTTTTTATATCATCCCATTAAATTCAAATTCATTTTAAATCAATTGAACTTTAAAACTCTGTCTGCATCCTGAAGTTCCATCCCGAGGAATGACCATTCCAATTTTGGGAATAACAAACATTCCATGGTCAGGAATGACAATTCCATTTTCAGGAATAAAAATTCAATATTTGGGAATAACCATTGAATTTTCGGGAATAACAATTCCATGGCCAGGAACAAAAATTCCCTTTTCGGCAATAACAATTCCATGTTCATGAATGACAGTTCAATTTTCAGGAATAGTCATTCAACTCTTGGGAATAACCATTCAATTTCTGGGAATAACCACTCCATTTTTGGGAATAACCGTTCAACTTTTGGGAATGACCATTCCATTTTTGGGAATGACAATAGAATTTCCAGGAATTCCAGGCCCCAGAGGTGACCCCAGGACCGTCCTCGCTCCCACCTTGCTCTCGAAGATGATCTCCATGAGGATCAGCAGCAGCTCCGTCAGGAAGATCAGCAGGAGCACCCAGAAGAACTGGAATGAGAAAAGGAAGGATTATCCCAGATCCGGGATCCAGATCCAATGCCCGCACACCACGGAAGCAAGGAATTCCTCCTCGGAATTCTGGTTTTCCCCAGAATTTTGGCCAAAATTCTGCCTTGGTGGCCGTGTCCCCATGCACTGTGGAGTGGGGATATGGGAAGGGGTCAGGAAGGGATTGGGAAAGGATCAGGAAGGGATGGGGAAAAGACTGGGAAAGGATTGGGAAGGGATCGGGAAGGGATCGGGAAGGATCAGGGAAGGATCAGGGAAGGATCAGGGAAGGATCAGGGAAGGATCAGGGAAGGGATTGGGAAGGATTGAAAAGCATCGGGAAGGGATCAGGAAGAGATTGGGAAAGGATTGGGAAGGGACCAGGAAGAGACTGGGAAAGGATTGAGAAGGGATCAGGAAGGAATCATGAAGGGATTGGGAAAGGAGCAGGAAGCGACCAGAAAGAGATTGGGAAGAGATCAAAAAGGATCAGGAAGGATCAGGAAAAGATTGGGAAGGGATCAGGAAGGACCAAGAAGGAATCAGGAAGGATTGGAAAGCATCGGGAAGGGATCGGAAAGAGATTGGGAAGGAGCCCAAGAGTCTCCCCTGGCACAAAGCTCCAAACAAATTCCGGATTTCATGGATAAACTTCCCAAGAAAAATCTTTCCCCAGCTCTGGATGCTAAGTCAGGAAGAGCTGCCCAATTCCAATTCAATTAACGTGGCCGTTAACGAGCTCATCAATCCAAATTCCCAAGAAGCGATGCTAATTCCCACAGAAACCTTGGGAATCGATAAATCCCTCCCTTAATGATCCCCAGGGTTTTGTTCCTCATTAATTATCCCCAAACCGGGATATTCCAACCCCAAATTGGTGCCGTTTAATTCCTGCACCTCCAGAGCACAAATCCCACAGGGCTGGAATTTCCAGAACATGGATCCCGAGGATTTGGGGTGTTGGGAACGGCCTGTTCCCTGTTCCCTGTGGAAAAATGGGAACGGAGCCGCTGCGGGGGCGGGAGATGGATGGAGCTTCCAGCAGCCCCGAACGGGCACTGAGCAGCCACAAATCATCCAGGCACCAGAATTCCACAGGGAATCCCACAGCTCCGGGGAGAAACAAGCCCAGATCCTTCGGAACACGAATGCCAGAGCCTTAGAAAAACAAATCCGGGTTCAAACACGAATCCCAGGGCCTTTAAAAAACATAAATCCAGGTTTAACACGACCCTGGATCCTTTAAAAAACATAAATCCAGGTTTAAACATGAATCCCAGAGTCTTATAAACAAAATTCCCAATCCTTTAAAACAGAAATCCAGGATTAAACACAAATCCCAGAGCCTTATAAACACAAACCTGGGTTTAAACACGAATCCCAGAGCCTCTGGAAGATGAATCCCAGATCTTTATAAACACAAACCCGAGTTCAAACACGAATCCCAGAGCCTTATAAACACAAATCTGGGTTTAAACACAACCCTGGATCCTTTTAAAAAACACAAATCCAGGTTTAAACATGAATCCCAGAGCCTTATAAACAAAATTCCCAATCCTTTAAAGCAGAATCCAAGATTAAACACGAATCCCAGAGCCTTATAAACACAAATCCAAGTTCCAACACAAATCTCAGAGCCTTTAAAACACAAATTCAGGTTGAAACACAACTCTGCGTCCTTTAAAAAACACACAATCCAGGTTTAAATACAATCCCAGACCCTTATAAACAAAATTCCCAATTCTTTAAAAACACAAATCTGGGTTTAAACATGAATCTCAGATCCTTTAAAACAGGAATCCCAGATCCTTTAAAAAACTCAAATCCAGGTTGAAACACAAATCCCAGATCCTTATAAACATAAATCCGGGTTTAAACACAAATCCCAGATCCTCATAACCAAAATTCCCAATCTTTTAAAACACATCCCAGGGGCTTATAAATACAAATCTGGGTTTAAACATGAATACCAGAGCTTTATAGACACAAATCCAAGTTTAAATATTACCCTGGATCCTTTAAAAAACACAATCCAGGTTTAAATATAATCCCAGATTCTTATAAACAAAATTCCCAATTCATTAAAAACTCATATCTGGGTTTAAACACGAACCCCAGAGCCTTTAGAAAACGCAAATCTGGGTTTAAACACAAATCCCACATTCTTATAAACAAGATTCCCAATCCTTTAAAGCACAAATCCAGGCTTAAACACGACCCTGGATCCTTTTGAACAGAAATCCTGAATCCTTTAAAACACAATCCTGGATCCTTTTAGACAAAAATCCAGGCCCTTTTAAACAAGATCCCAAATCCTTTTACACATGAATCCAGATCCTTCCAAGCACAGTCCCAGATCCTTTTAGATACAAATCCTGGATCCTTTTCACCACAAATTCCAGATCCTTTTAAACAAGATCCCAGATCCTTTTAACCACAAATCCCAGATCCTTTAAAACAAAAATCTCTTTAAAACATGGATCCAGGTCCTTTTAAACTTGATTCCCAAAACTTTCAAACACAATCCCAGATCCTTTTAAATGCAAATTTGGATCCTTTTAAACACAGATCCCAAAACCTTTTAAACAGAAATCCCAGATCCTTTAAAACATGACTCCAGATCCTGAATCCTTGAAACACAAATCCAGGTTTAAGCACAATCCCAGATCATTTTAAACATGGACGTGGACCCTTTTAAATCCAAATCTGGATCCTTTAAAATCCAAATTCAGATCCTTTAAAACACAAATCCTGGATTCTTTTAAACAAAATCCCAGATCCTTTAAAATCCAAATCCTGGATGCTTTTAAATAAAATACCAGATGCTTTTAGACACAAATCCAAGATCCTTTGAAACACAAATATGATCCTTTTAAAGACAATCCCAGATCCTTTTAAATCCAGATCCTTTAAAACACAATCCCAGATCCTTTAAAACATAAATCCCGAATCCTTTCACAAATCCCAGATCATTTCAAACACAAATCTGAATATTTTTAAACACAAATCCCAGATCATTTTAGACACAAATTAAAATTTAAACACGGACCTGGATCCTTTTAAATCCAAATCCTGGATCCGTTTAGATAAAATCCCAGATCCTTTTAAATCCCAGTCTGTATCCTTTTAAACACAAATCTGATCCTTTTAAAGACAATCCCAGATCCTTTTAAACACAATCCCAGATCCTTTAAAATCCAAATTCAGATCCTTTAAAACACAAATCCTGGATCCTTTTAGACACAAATCCCAGATAATTTCAAACACAAATCTGAATCCTTTTAAACAAAAATCCAAGATCTTTTTAGACACAAATTCAGATCCTTTTAAACATGGACCTGGATAATTTTAAACACAATTCCAGATCCTTTTAAATCCTAATCTGGACCCTTTTAAACACAAATCGGATCCCTTTAAAGACAATCCCAGATCCTTTAAAACACAAATCCCGGATCCTTTTAGACACAAATCTGATCCTTTTAAACACAAATCCCAGATCTTTTTAGGCACAAATTCAGATCCTTTTAAACATGGACATGGATCCTTTTAAACCCACTTCCTAGATCCTTTTAAACACAATCCCAGATCCTTTAAAACAGATCTGGGATCCTTTTAAAGACAATCCCAGATCCTTTTAAGTAAAATTCCAGATCCTTTTAAATCCCAATCTGGATCCTTTTAAACACAATCCCAGATCCTTTAAAACACAAATCCTGGATCCTTTAAAACACAAATCCCAGATAATTTAAAACACAAATCTGAATCCTTTTAAACACAAGCCCAGATCCTTTAAAACACAAATCCCGGATCGTTTTGAACAAATTTTCCTGCTTGTTTCCATAAAAACCCCAAAATCCGCAGCTGCCAGGCCCAGCTCAGCTCTAAGAGCTCCTCCAGTGCCTCTTTCCCTGATTGCTTTTGTTCCCGGGATTTATCCTGGAAAGGACAATTCCTGATCTGCACCAGGCTCTGACTGCGCCGTTCCCTCTCCTGCTCCTTCCTGTCCTCAGCAATTCCCGGCTTTTCACCTCCCAAAAACCCAGGCTGGGCAGGCAGGGGGAGGCAATTTTCCTTTGCAATTCGCTTTTCCTTGGGAATTGACTTTTCCTTTGGAATTCCCTTTCCCTTAGGAATTCACATCCCAGCATGGACCTCGAGAGGGAAATTACCGTGGGGAGTCCAGATCCACGGAATTCCCTCCTGGAGATCCCCCAGACATGGAGGTTACCCTGAATCCATGGAATTCCCTCCCAGGGATCCTCAAACCATGAAGGTGACCCCAGATCCATGGAATTCCCTCCTTGGGTTCCCCAAACCATGGTGGAGAATCTGAATCCATGGAATTTCCTCCCCAGGATTCCCAAACCACAGAGATGACTCCAGATCCATGGAATTCCCTTCCGGAGATCCCCCAGTCATGGAGGTGACCCTGAATCCGTGGAATTCCCTCCCTGGGATTCTCAAACCATGGAGGTGGCTCCAGATTCATGGAATTCCCTCCTGGAGACCCTCTCAGACTTAATTTTGACCCTGGATTCAGGGAATTCCCTCCGTGGGCTCCCCAAACCATGGCGGAGAATCTGAATCCATGGAATTCCCTCCCCAGGATTCTCAAACCATGGAGATGACTCCGGATCCATGGAATTCCCTCCTTAAGACCTCCCAGACAAAGTTTTGACTCTGAATCCCTGGAATTCTCTTAAGACCTCCTAGACTGAGGTCCACAGAATTCTCTCCCTGGAATCTCCAACCCATGGTGGAGACTCTGGATCCATGGAATTCGCTCCTTGGGCTCCACTAACCATCGTGGAGAACCGGAATCCATGGAATTCCCTCCCTGGGATTCTCAAACCATGGGGATGACTCCAGATCCATGGAATTCCCTCCTTAAGATCTCCCAGACATTTTGTCTCTGGATCCATGGAATTCCCTCCCTGGCATCCTCAAACCATGCAGATGACTCTGGATCCATGGAATTCCCTTCCCAAGACCCTCCCAGACCCTGGATCCATGGAATTCCCTCCTGGAGACCCCTCAGATGTAAATTTGACCCCGGATCCATGGGATTCCCTCCTGGAGACCTCCCAGAGCCCGGATCCAGGGAATTCCCGGCCCGCTCCGATCCTCACCGTGCGGAGCAGGGTGCGGTTGTCACGGAGGCTCCCGAGCATTCCCACGAAGGACACGAGGAACACGGTGATTCCCAGCAGGAGCAGCAGCACGGCCGGAGCCAGGAAAATTCCTTCCAGCGTTCTGTGCCGCTGCCGCTCCGCCTCGGCGTAGATCCCCACGCCCAGGATCAGCAGCCCCAGGATCTGCAGCGAGATTTTGGGAATTTGAAGGATTTTTGGGATTTTCAGGATTTGGGGTGGGAAAAGTCTCTGAGGGAGAGGGGAAAGTGGGAGATGCCCAAGGACACCCACGCTCAGGATCAGCAGCCCCAGTATCTGCAGGGGGGTTCTGGGAATTTCAGGGTTTTGGGAGTTTTGGGTGGGAAAAGTCTCTGAGAGAAATGGGAAAGTGGGAGATGCCCAAGGATTCCCACACCCAGGATCAGCAGCCCCAGGATCTGCAGCAGGATTTTTGGGAATTTCAGGGGTTTTGGGATTTTGGGGTTTTCAGGTTTTGGGGTGGGAAAAAAGTCTTTGAGGGAAAGGAGAAAGTGGGAGATGCCCAAGGATTCCCACGCCCAGGATCAGCAGCCCCAGGATCTGCAGCAGAATTTTTGGGAATTTCAGGGTTTTTTGGAGTTTTGGGGTTTTCAGGATTTTAGGTGGGAAAAAAGTCTCTGAGGGAGAGGAGAAAGTGGGAATGCCCAAGGATTCCCACGCTCAGGATCAGCAGCCCCAGGATCTGCAGTGTGATTTTCAGGATTTGAAGGATTTTTGGGATTTTCGGGGGTTTGGGGTTTTCAGGATTTTGGGTGGGAAAAATTTCTCAGAGAGAAATGGGAAAGTGGGAGATATCCAAGGATCCCCATACCCAAGATCAGCAACACCAGGATCTGCAGTGTGATTTTGGGGATTTGAAGGGTTTTTGGAGTTTTCAGGATTTTCAAGGGTTTCAGGATTTGGGGGATTTTTAGGGTTTTTGGGATTTGGGGGATTTTTTGGGGTATTTGGGGTACTCAGGATTTTTGGGATTTTCAGGGATTTGGGGGTTTTCAGGATTTTCAGGATTCAGGATGGGAAAAAAGTCTCCAAGGGAGAGGGGGAGGTGGGAGATGTTCAAGGAAAATCCCCACGGCTCTGGAATGTTCCACAGCCCAGGAGCTGTCTGGGGTAATGTGGTATCAGGGATACTTCCCACACCAGGAATGTCCCACAGTGATGGATCCACCTGGATCCATCCATGGATTCCAGACAGGATTTTCCAGGTTCTCCCTGCCTGGATCCTCTTGGATTCTCTGCTTGGCTCTGAGCCCCCACAATTCCCTAATTTCCACCCATTTTGAAGCTCCTGGAGCACTCAGAGCCTCCTTCTCTCCACACCCAGCTCCAATCAATCCCAGCATTCCCAACACATTCCCAAAGGTTGGAAAACCTTCAAGCCTTCGCTTCCCTGCAGGAAAATCTGAGGAAGGTTTCGGGATGGGCACAGGAAGTGCCTAAAAATGGCTTTCCCAGGGATGAGAAACATCCTTGGAGAATGGAATGGGCGCAGAATTCCCGAGGCTGCACAGCAGCTGCTTCATCCTGGGATTTTCCCTTTCCCGGTTTTCATGGGATGGGCTCACCCCTCTCATTCCCCATGGAAATATTGAGCTGATCCCATCGAATTCCTGAGCTTCTGGAGAATCCTGGAATGGGTCGGGATGGAAAAGACCTCAAAGCTCCTCCTGCTATCCCGGGATGCTCCAGCCTGGCCTTGGACAATTCCAGGGATCCAGAACATTCCTGGTTTAATTTAAACTCAGGTCAGGCCCCATTCCTGTGGGATTCCCTGTCCCGGAGTCGTGGGATTGGGATAGGAGCAATTAAGGAATAGGGAATAATTAACACCCAGCTCTGGGGTGGGAGGAGGTCCTGGCTCATCCCGAGGTCAGGTGGGAATTGGGAATTTGGAAAAGCTCTCCTGGAGTGAGCTCCTCCAGGAGGAATGTTGGGAATGGCCTTTTCTTTTTTTCCCAGAGGAAAAAGCAGGAATGTCGTTTTTGTCCAGAGGAAATGTCAAAATCCTGAATTTTAGCGGGGTCGGTTGAAACATCTGCTCTCTGTTTTGTGGAAAAATAATTTTCCGTATTTTTTATAGTTTTGGATTTTCCAAGGAAAGGGAAGGAGAGGGGGTTTTTTGGGAAAAGAAAATCCCAAATCTCTGCTCTGCTGGATTAAAACCAACCCCAAATTCCCTGGTTTAGAGCCGCTTTCCAGCTCATCCCAGGCTCCTTCCCAAATTTTTCTGAATGTAACGAAATCCCTGGAAAGGATCCACCAGCTCGAAATCCGATTTTCCACAGGCTGGAAAACTGGGAATCGCCAACCCCAGCCCTCAGGATTTTATTCCAAGGAGTCCAATTTCCAAAGGGCATTCCTACAAAATCCTGCTTTTATTGGGAAAAACATCCCGGCCCCGTCCACAGGGTTAACGAGGCTTGGAATTAATTGGGTTGCAATTATGCAAATGAGGCCGGAATTAGGTCAGGCTGAAAGGCTCCCAGGAGCTGCAGAATTCCCGAGGATTCCCTGGAGCAGAATGTCTGCCTGGGGACACCCCAGGGATGGAGGCTGGAGGGCCTGGAGCCCCCAGAAATGGTTTTTTTGGGGGGTTGTTTTCCCGTTTTTTTGACCAATCCGAGCCTCTCGGTGGTGGATTCCCTGTGGAGCTCTCCCAGAATTCCCCCAAAATCTGGGAATTGTCCCAGGGTTCATCCATGATTCCCAAAGTGGAACTGGGAGGAAAATCCTGCTGGTCCTTCAACACCCCAGAAACCTCTGGGAAACCCCAAATTGAGCGGGGTTGGCTCCTTGGGAATTTGGCTCCTGGTTTTTTTGGAATATTGCACAAATCTCACCCAAAACTCCAACCTGAGCCAGAAACGTGGGAGAAATCTGGAATTTTGGGGGTTTCTGGGAATGTCACAGAGGTCTGGCCCCTCGGAGCTTTCCCACCCAACAGAGCCTGGGAAATCTGGAAGATATTCCCAAAAAACCACCAATTTTTGGTGATTTTTGGCGTCGGCCCAAGCCCCCAGGCACGAGGGCTGGGCCGAGTTCATTCACGGCTCAAAAAGAAATAAAAACCGAAATTAAAATCATTTCCGGGCACCTGCGGAGGAATTTCTGTGCTCACACCTGCAGAATCAACCCCACCCCGGAGTTATCTAACCCCGGGGAGGAAATATTTGGAAATAAAGTCATAATTCCGCAAAAATCAACCCCAAAAAGAGACCCCCAAAGTGGGCGGAATTCCTGGTTTTCCCCTCCCTTCTCCCGCAGGTGTTGGCACCTCCCAGAAATCCCGCCCCGAGCAGAGTTCAGGGCTTCAAAGCCGCCTAAAATTCGCTTTATTTGGAATTTCTCCCACAAAAACGCGGCTCAAACCCCCTCCATGTCTGCAGGGGGTGGAAAAAAAATAGGAATTTCCGCGGGTTTTTTCCCTGCTCTAAAGAGGAATCGCTGCCCCAAAGGAATCACGATGGGGGGGGGGGGGATGAGCTTGGAAAACCCCCCCAAAACCCGCGGGTTCACCCCAAAACCGCCCAGTTTGGGGCCCAAAAATGCCCAGTTTGGAGCAAAAAATCGCCCAGTTTGGGGCCCAAAAATGCCCAGTTTGGAGCAAAAAATCGCCCAGTTTGGGGCCCAAAAATGCCCAGTTTGGAGCAAAAAATCGCCCAGTTTGGGGCCCAAAAATGCCCAGTTTGGAGCAAAAAATCGCCCAGTTTGGGGCCCAAAAATGCCCAGTTTGGAGCAAAAAATCGCCCAGTTTGGGGCCCAAAAATGCCCAGTTTGGAGCAAAAAAACTGCCCAGTTTGGGGCCAAACAGCCCCAAATTTCCCAGTTTGGAGGCGGCCCCGGGGGCTCGGAGGCTCCGCGGGTTTTCCTCAAGGATTTGGGGCTTTGGGAAAGGGAAATTTGGACACGAGAGGGGCTGGAAAAGCCAAATCCGCCCCGCGGGGGTGGGGAAACAGCGGGATAAAGGTGGGAAAACACGGGAAAACATAGGGGGGAAATGGGGGGAAAAGGGAAAAGCACGTACCGAGAAGAGCGTGGCGTAGGCGGAGAGCGCGAATTTGATGCCGTAATAATAAAAGTGGGAATCGCGGCAGGTCCGCGCCATCCCCGCGGCTCTTGCCGGCTCATTCCCGGCTGGAATTCCTGCGGGGAATTTGAACTTGGCCGATTTCCGCCCGGCAGGGGCAGAGCGCGGCCGCTTTAACCCTTGAAAGGCCGCGGGCTTGGAGGGAGTTCCTGCCCGCAGAGGGGAAAGCGCGGCTGGAAAGGGGATTTTCCATCCCGGATTATCCCGGGTTTGTCCCGGGAGGAATCGAGGAATCACCTGCGCTCCTGAGCCTTCCCCCGAGCTACGCACAGCTCTGGAATTTCTTTTGATTCCCTCGGATTTTCATCTTTTGATCCCCTTGGATTTTGATTTTTTTCGGATCCCACTCAGATTTTGATCCTTTTCAGCCCCTCGGATTTTGATTTTTTTTTTTTTTAATTCGTCTCAAATTTTAATTTTTTAGAACCCACTCTGATTTTGATGATTTTTTAAATTCGCCTCGAATTTTGATTTTTTTTTAGATTCCACTCAGATTTGGATCTTTTGGATCCCCTCAGATTTGGATTTTTTTTTTATCCCCTCAGATTTTGATTTTTTTATTTTAATTTCTTCTATTATTTTGTCACCATCACTTTGAAGAAGCCGGAGCAAAAACTTCGCCTCCAAAAGAAAGGGAAATTCTTTCCTAAAGTGCTGAACTCGACTGAAGGGTGGAGATTTCCAGGAATTTGGGAGACCCCAAACAAGGGGAGACCCTAAATAAAGGAGACCCAAATTAATGGGAGACCCCGAATAGGGAAGACCGTGATCAAAGGGAGACACCAGTTAAGGGGAAACCCCAATCCGGGGGAAACCCCAAACAGGGGAGACCCCAACCAAAAGAGACCCCAAGCAAGGGGACCCCAAGCAGGAGAGACCCCAACAAAAGGAGATCCCAATTAATGGGAAATCCTAAACAAGGGGAGACCCCAACAAAGGGAGACCCCAAACAGAGGAGACCCCAATTAATGTGAGACCCCTAACAAGGGAAACCCCAAACAAGGGAGCCCCTCATTAACAGGAGATCCTAAATAGAGGAGACCCCAATTAAAGGGAGACCCCAACCAAAAGAGACCCCGAACAAGGGGAGACCCCGAACAGGGGGAGACTCCAATCAAGGAGAGACCCCGAACAGGGGGAGACTCCAATTAAGGAGAGACCCCAAACAGGGGGAAACCCCGAATAAGGGAAGACCCCAACCAAAAGAGACCCCAATCAAGGAAGACTCCAAACAAGGGAGACCCAGATCAATCTGAGATCCCAAATAGGGGAGACCCCCATTAAAGGGAGATCCCAACCAAAAGAGACCCCAAACAAGGGAGACCCCAACCCGGGGAGACCCTGATCAAAGGGAGGCCCCAATTAAGGGGAGACCCTGATCAAAGGGAGACCCTAAACAAAGAAGACCCCAAACAAGGAGAGACTCCAAACAAGGGGAGACCCCAAAAACAATTCTCCATCAGGGCATTGACCCGGATGATGTTTTTAACCTCTCAGCCCAGCGGTGAAATTCCCTGCACTGACAGCTCCTTAAATTCCCTTTTTTTTTTTTTTTTTTCCCTCTTTTTCCCCAAGGAATTCAAATCGAATTCCCTTTGCTTTCCCTCCGGGAGGAGCAGAGGCCGTTCCGGCAGCGGAAATTCTCCCGTTCCACCCCCAGGGATGAACAAGCAGAAACCGACCTGGAATGATCCATTTCTTTATTGCGTTTATTCCATTTATTCCGTTTAATGGGCAGGGCCTGCCGGACAGGAATTGATCCCAAAATCCCGGTGGGAACAGGATTTGGAGCTTTGCCATAGGAGAGCAGCCCGGGGTTTATTCCTGGGTTTGTTTTCCCGGCTGGAAGTGCTGCTGGAGCTGCGGGATTGATGGGATTTAATTTTATTAATGGGTCATCGATCCCGGGAGTGAATCAGGGACTGAGAGTGGGAAAGGGGAAAGGGAAAGGGCAAAGGGGAA